ACTAAAAACTTTGCAACGTTATCTGGAGAAGGAAAAATAAATCAAACTACTCTACAAGAAGAAAAAGAAATTGATAATACAAGTGTTATCCCATAACTTTGTAACCCATAACATCTTGATAGGATTAATAAAAGCCTGCCGTTCCATCAACACGGTTGGGGAAAAGAGAAAGCGCTATTTTGGAATTTTGTGAAATGAAATGCAATATTATCCGTGTAAGTTTTGTTAATTAAATAATACATGCTTCTTTATTTTGGAAGACATTCCAGACAAATCTACATCTCCAAAGAGAACGCTGAAGTTACCCACTGTGACTGATATGTAATTCATTACTAGTTTTCTATATTTGAATCTTATGGAACAGCTGTTTTCACCTTAACATCTATTAGATGGTATCACATTTGATTTTTCTGACATGCTGGTGCCTTTGCAAGTGAGAGTAGAGCAAAGCTGTGAGTGTCATGTACTTCCCTTTTTCTTTCCTTCTGTGTCTGGCCTACTGTTCATGGTTGTAAAGACATGTATGTTTGATTTGCTTTAACTTATTGTTTTGGATGCTGCAGTTTAGATTTGTGGCATATTCAAACTGCTTCCAGTTGCTGTGTTTGGTGTTTACTGAATGAAAGTCATCGCTAGACTCCAACACAAGTATTGATGTGAAGGCCTCACTCGTAACTCAGTTTAACAAGTTGTCAGCACATTTGCTTATTTTGGAACTGCACCAGTACTATTAATGGTCTTTCGTTCATTCAAATGATTGTTGTAACTCAGAAAAAAAAAACCCTGAGGCCCAAACCCCACCACCACACTGTGGAGTCTTTAGGAAGATCACTGATGTCCTCACACAAGGTCAACACTACTTTCGGGAAGGCTTATATTCTTCTGCCACTTTTAGGAAAGACTGTTCTTCTGAAGTACTTTTTGCCTGCTTTTAGGCTGTTATGCACTTTCACGATTTCTTAACAAACTACTGTTAAAATGTACTGTACCATGGATTTTGATAAGCGCACATGTATTTAAACAATTCACTCAGCCTCAGGAAAGCTGGAAAAATCGAATACCTGTTTTGTATCTTGATTAAAATGTTTGCATTTGTAAATGCATCCCTTTAGATGGCCAGATAATATCTAGATCCTGTGAGTGTAACTATTTAAGATACCAGTATAGTCTATAAAATGAGGACTGTAATTTTGCTTTAGGGACAGAGAAAAGGGTATCCTCTTATTTTTCTTAGAGATATATATAGTCTGAATTGAAGTTTCAAAAGCAAAAAGCAGTAATAAACCCCATTTAGTGTTCAGGGAAAAAAATGTTTTCTTTCTCAACACTATCTGATTTCTGTTTTCTTTCTTCTCCTTAAAAAGCGTGTGTGAAATAAGTGCAGAGGTATGTGCAGGAAAAACTGTAAAATCTGCTGCTGTACATGTTTGCTACTTGACTGCATTTTCTGTTCCACTTTAATTTTACTGGTTTTGCTAAATATATTTTATATATTTTCCTTCCTGCTTCTTGTGATGGCAGAGTGATTACATCTTTTGGGGGAAAAATCAAAAACAACCATAAGAAGGCTTTGGGGCCAGAAAATTCCATAAAGGTTGTATGTTACTGTATATCTCAGGACATTTTTTGAGACAACTGCATAAATCAGGAGCAATGGTAAAATCAATGGGGATACAAAAATGTACAAAGGTATAGATGCTGGTAATTCTGTTTCAGGGTTGTTGGTTTGGGGATTCTTTTAAACATTTCTAAAATCCATTTAAAATGTCAGTACTAGATGCTAAAGAGTGACTTAAGCAGAGCATTTTTCAATCTGAAGATTTAGCCCTCTTTGTGGCCCCTGAATTACTTCCAAGGGATCCACAAAGCCAGGCAAAATACAAGTCACAGGGATCATGTATCACTGTCGTGTTTCTAAGACTTGCATCCCCATAAAGGTTGTGAGTCCGTAAACTGTTTGAGGATAAAAACTCACGACTGTATTTGAATTCCTGTAGCGACTGCAAGCTTTTAAGAGGCTGACTACAGTCTGTCCTCCCGTGTGCCCCAAGGTCTCAGGAAGCTGTGATACACCTGGCCTGCACAGCTACCCCATGGGGCTCCAATGCACCTTTGATTCTGCATTTGTAGAACAGCTCAGTGTTGAAGGAAAAAGCACAGCAAGCTTCGCTTACAAAGGTGAGCTGTTGCAGGTTGTTCTGCAAGTAGAATGTTTCCACTTGTTATTTTCCATCATCCATGTTCTGTTGACATTAACTAGAAGTAATCCTTTTATGGTTGTAAAGCATTGCAGGCTTGGCTGCCTTCCAAATCAACATGCAATTGGTTTGCCAGCCCTAAAACTGTTGAGATTTTGGGGGGGAAAAAGCTAATAATTATTTTAGGCTTAATGGCAACAGAAGAGGTTCTGCAGTTAGAATTTAATAATCTATTTTCATATTAATTAAAACTAATTATACTTTTTCATATGGCTATGGCTAGTGCCTACAGCGAGAGGAAGAAAAGTATAGAATTTCATTATTTGAGAAAAACTAAAAGTAAAAATAATAAACATCAAAACACAAAAGCCTTGTAAGTAACAAGTTACTCTTGCTTCCCAGGGTAGAACTGTGTTTTTAAAAACTTTCTGATACAGCAAATTTATTAGTGAAGAGGCAGTGGTGTATGTCATCAGGTTCATCTTAAGGGCACTGGTGTCTCTGCTATGTGACATGGCTTTGTCAGTGAAAGGATAGGGGCGATAGCTTAACTGGAAACATCTTCCTGCAAAAAAAGATTAGGAACAATAATTACTAATAAGAAAGTTATTGCAGGGTGCACTTTACAGGTGCTCCCATGTTTTTGGTTGGTTTGTCTTCACATCCCAAAGAAAATGAATTGCAAGAGAACCTCTTTTGTTTCCTACACGGTCAGTTGAGCTCCTTCCAAGCTTTCCTTCTAGAACTGTCTTGTAACAGGATTCAAGCAAGGTCTTGAGATGTCTGTTTGCTGCCAAGTAGTGTCTGGTATCATAACTTAAATAGTGTTGCCCTGCCTACCCCTCAAGCCCCCCCACAGCCACGTGCCCTTACGTGATCTCTGTAACTCTTTGGGTGAGGAGGAATCGCTTGTCAGGGGTGTAGACTGTTGCTCTGTGAAATCTGGACTATGTGCCATCCCAGTTTCCTTTATCTTTTCATTTTCAGTCCTTTACAAAACACTTTTCACATAAAATGTGCCACAAATACACATGAAACAGGAAATATTTTTAAGTGTCACTTCTCTGTAGTATCTAAACTGCATTTCTTGCTGCACTCAATAATACTGTGCAGGTGTCAGTCAACAAGAACGATGGAGAGAGACTTTTTACAAGGTTATGTACTGACAGGACAAAGGGGGAATGGCTTCAAACTGGGAGAGGGTAAGTTTAGATTAGATATTCTGAAGAAATTCTTTACTGTGAAGGTGGTGAGGCACTGAAACAGGTTGTCCAGAGAAGCTGTGGATGCCCTATCTCTTGAAGTGTTCATGGCTGTGCTGGATGGAGCTCTGAGAAATCTGGTCTAGTGAAAAGTGTCCCTGTCTATGGCAGAGGGGGTTGAACTAGATGCTTTTTAAGGTCTCTTCCAACCCAAGCCATTCTAAGATTCTATGAAATTAAACAAGGAAAGTATTTTAAAACTTGCTATCCTTTGCAAGTATCTAAGAATCAGCTCGACTTCTGTTAGTATGCAAGAAAGTGAGGTCGTTCCAACCTCCTGATGCTTAACAGAAATGGAAAGCCTGGGCAGGAGAGCCAGATGTAGAAAACCATTTTGAGGCACTGGGTTGCGGGGTAAGTCTGAAGCTCGTGGCTTTTTTGAACGCTTGTCACTCTCTCTCGAGATAACCTGTAATCTCCCACTCTGACATGACGGGCGCCTTTCGCTGTCTCACAGCCCAGCTCAGACTTCAGTATCTGTCGAAGTCCCTCCACAGATGCGGAATTCCTCAGCCGCCGGAGCCCGTCCAGCGCCGGCGGCAGCACGCAGCTCGTACTTCAGCTGAGAGGGAGCCGCTCCGCCGACCGCTGTGCAGCGGGGAAGGCGAGGGCACAGCGACACGAGCAACCCCCACGGCAGAGTGCGTGTGCCGCCGGGAGCGGTGCGAGGGTCGGGGTGAGTGACCCCGGTGGGATCGGGAATCCCCGCCCACTCCCGCCCCCTCCCGCCGCAGCGCCCAGCAGGGGGCGCGCGCGCCCCACGCGCGGCGTTCGGGGCGGGGCCGGCCGGGCGAGCTCCGCGCGCGCGGAGGGATCCACGGGTGGTGAGTGGGAAGAGGAGGCGGACGCGGGGCGGGGGTGGCGTGAACCGGAGTCCCCCTGCCCGTCCGCTCGTGCTCGCCGTGAGGGCGGGCGGGCTCCCCGCTCCAGGGGCGCGGAGGCCGGAGCCGGGACGTCGCGGAGCTTCCTGCCCGCCGGCCCCTTCCGCTCCCCGCTGCCCCGGGTTCGGTGTCGGCCGAGGCGCGGGCGGGCCGGCCGGCGTCACCCTGTACCCCCCAGGGGTTTATTGTGGCTGCAGGGCGCCCTCAGAGCGATACACACTGGAGGGGACGGGAGAAACGGGCCTTCTCCAGAAGCCGCCTGTGCCCCGTCTTTCGTTCACGTGTCGGAGGGTCTTGGCGGTGCTGAGCCCTGCCGGCGGTCCGTCCGTGCTCTCTGAGAAGAGTGGGAATAGGCTAGGTCTCCACATATTTAATAATTCTCTGAGTCAGTTTCTCTTCTGTGAACTGTTCTTGTGTTACTTTGATGCTCTATGAAATTCAGTCATCAAGGGATTCCGTGGCTCAGCAACACCTTGTGTCATGAACCAGCTCCTTTTGATAGTGTTTTTCTTATTGTTGTTTTGGGGGGGTTGTTTTGGGTTTTTTTTTTTGTCGTTGGTTTTTTGTTTGTCTGGTTTTGTTTGGTTTTGTTGGGGTTTTCGTGTGGTTTTTTTTTTTTTTTTGTCAAGGCCGTTGCAGCCTACATTTGGCCTTTTAATTCTTGCCTTGGAAAACCGTGGTCCATCTCTGCCGGTGATGTTCATGCCACTCATGATCACAGACTCTGTCATACTCCTTCTCAGTTACTCCTTCCTCATACTCATTGTCCTACAAAAGCTCTTCTAGTCTTTGGATGTCTCACTACCCTTCTTGAACCTTTTCTAGTTTCAGTATTTCCCTGGTTTTGGTTGAGATAAAGAGACCACAACTGCTATTCAGTTTTATTCTGTATGTGTTGGTAACTTGGAGCTCTTGACAGCTCCTTTTAAATTTCTTTGTAAATTGTACTTAATCGTGTTATCAGACACAATTCCCACACAGTCAGGAGATGTGGGATTATGATACATGATTCTCAAAAAACACAAAATCACTGTTTGTTGGCAGCCAAGAAAAACACATCAAATGGTAGAATTTTTTGGGAAAAGAAATAGAATGTAACAGAAAACATCATGAAACAACAGCATAAACGTGATCACTCGTATCTTAGACATTGCGTAGAGTTCTAGTCTCCTCAAAAAAAGGGTATATTAGAAGGATTCAATATACCTTCAATATACCAGAAGGAAGAGTGAATGCATCGAAAGACTTTTGTCAACCCATCAGAGAGGGTTAAGACCCTTCAGGCTAGAAAAGAGCCAGTTTGCTGAGTGAGGGAAAGGGGGTGTGTTAGAGGTGTCTGTGAAATGACGTGTGGAGAGAGTGTAGGGCTCAACCACTTGCTTTCTGTTCTGACACACCAAGTGTCTGCACCATGTGAAGCGAGTGCATGGTCACAGCAAGAAGAGAGAGTTATTCATAAAATGATTGATAAAATGAAGCTTCTTACTAGATGACATTGTAGACAAAAAACTTTTATGGGAATTTGAGGGATACTGGACAAATGTTTCTGAGAACAGCATTTGTGAAATGAACCACTTTGGATGTAAAAACAGCTTCCTTAGTAGAAAATGGTTAAAGCCTGTGAGAGTATAGAGTGGGGAGGTATCACACGTATTTGCCTTACCTCAGTCCTTTTGAGGCAGTGGTTTTGGCTGTGTTCAGGATGGAATGACCAGTATCAACCCTTCAGGACACAAGAATGACTGGTATCAGTGCTTGACCTGAACTAGTACAGCTTTCTTCTTGAACCATTTGCCATGGACATGAACAAAAAGTTATTCGAACTTAATCCTGAAATGGAGCTGTCTCAGATCTGTGGCAGGTTGTCTGCGGACACAGCATTTGGATTCCTGTACATGATAACAAGCTCAAGTTTGAGCAGAGTGCAGTATCTTCTGGCTTTTGAAGTATCAGGGCACGTGTCCGGCCTTTAGTAACCATTCCAGTCCCTCAGATCAGGGCTTGTTTACCTCCAGGCAGGTGGTTGGAGCCCCTTCCAGGTGATTTTCATTATAGTTGCGCACCATTGCCCAGCTTTTCTTGGTGTGTGCTACAGACACCATAGATGATGAGCTGCTTGTCTCAAAGACTGACTTTGGCAGCTTGGAAGAAATACAGACAGCTATATTTAACTCCATTTCATGCTCTCTGTCTTTAGATCCAAGTTACTCTAGAATAAGATCTTTTCTGAAGTCGCACATGTGCTTTTTATATTGTCAGTAAAAGATCTAAGGTGCATACACTGTCCTCTTCCTCCCCCTTCCCAGCTATGAACAGCGTGGCTTTCCAGTTGTATTTTTATTCCACGGCCTTTCAGCAGTCTGTCCTTTCCCCTTCAGCTAAGGAACATTTTATTACAATGAGATGACATCTTTAGGGTGCCACAAAACAATGAGCAGGAAAAGTGGCTTGTACACCCAGCAAATGGTATTTCCAAGTTGTGTGGGCATTCAGGGAGCCCTGACTTACAGGTGTGGGTTTAGGCTGACACAACCTCTTCGGCAGAGAGACGTTGGAGTCACCTTTGGTGCAGTCTATTGGTAAAAGTTCTGAAGCAGCAATTGGATACTTTACCAGGAGAGTATTTTTTGAGGTGGCTTTGTAAATGTAGATCCCACCTCCTACCTGCTTTTACCTGTATGAGAGGAGCTTCCTCTTGAGTAGTGCTGTGGATCTAGAAGGATCTAACCTCTGGAGCAAGCTACGTGTTCTGTCTTTGTGGGGTGAGCAGTGGTGCAAGGGCATGTAGGGCACTTGTCTCAGCTGACCTATGACTGCAGGCTTCCAGACACCTCTGGACAGGGGCACAGTTACTTTTGGGCGTAAGGGCTGTGCTCTGTCTCTGAGAATACTGTTTTTCAGGTGATCATAATTACAGGTGGAACAAATGTACTGGGGACCAAAGGCTGTTAATTTTTCCTATAGCATTGACACTTGTGTTCCTTCTAACCTAGGGTATTTTTTTTCCTCCGTTTTAGAATTTGACTGTGTAAGATTAGAGTTCTCATACATGACATCTGGAAACTGTCATTAAATAGGTACAGGATTCTTGTGTAGACAAGGCCTTGGAATCTCCTGTGCTACTATTATCTCTTTTAATTTATTTTTTGTTTTCTTTGAAGAGCTTTCACCCTGTAGTGATGACATTTGCCTGAACAGTTCATGAGCTAATAAGAGGGATTGAGCTGTGCAGAGGGGAAGGGGCTAAGGAGTCTGCAGGCACCTCCACCCCCTTCCTTCTGCCTGCTGCACTGTAGGTCATGTGGTGCAGTTGTAGGCACCTCACTTTTACTGTTTTATGGGTAGATCTGGCCCTTTAGAGACCAGTAGCATCTAAATTTGCCATTTTACTGTATGAACACAGTCCTGCCTGAAATAGTTCCTGTTCCACTGAATCTGTGCAAGCTTACCCCCTTTTTTCCTCCTTTCCTTTGGGCTAACTTTGACTTCACCATGAGTCTTATTTTCCTGAACTTCATGCAGTGTTCATGAGCTATTCTTGGAGATCTGATTTTTTTATCATTTTGCTTTTTTATTGCAAATGCAACATGTAAACTAAGAACTAATAGTAAAGAAGATCTGTCACTTTGCTACTTTTAAACTTTGTATTCCTATTAACACAAGGGTTTAGTGTAGGTAGAATGGCTGGATCAGCACTGTACGTGTTATGAATGCTCTGAATCCCAGGGCATTCCTAAAACACAGCCCTGAACCCTTGTGTGGCTCACGTAGGGAGTCTACATGAGGACAGAGAAAGGGCTGCTGGTGAGGGACCCAGGGCCTGGGGCAAGCACAGATGGGTCAGCTGGAGCCTCAGGGGCCTTGGGAATTAAGAGTGTAAAGGTTCTCTAAGAGCCAGAGGCACTGTGGGTTTCTGTGCTTCTTCCCATCCTCCCCCAAATGTTTCAGAGTTGCTTCTGGACTTGAGAGCAGTGAACTGGAAGGGGTATAGAGGGGCTTTCAAACAGCAGAACTGTCTCCCTTAAAGGATTTACAAATCTTTTTCACATAAACTCACTTTAATAGTTTTTTGATGTAGTTCTTAAGCACAAGAATTTGTTTATGCTAATGACCTAAGTCAGAATATGTGCATTCAGAAAAATATATTGAATTTTGGGAATATTCGTAATAGATGTACAATATATTTCTACCATATGTTCTGAGTTACCTCTCCTTGCAACCTCACAGTTAATTACTGCTTAGTTCCTAAGGCTTTAATTTACAAACCAAAAGGAAGGCTATTAAAAAGTAAACTGAAAAATTATTAATAGATAAAAGATGTCTATGGGAGTATGCCTTTTTATCTACTGAAACAGTGGGAAACTCCTCATCAGCAATTTTGTCTGTGAGGGTTTCATTTCATGGGCATGGATTTCGTCCTTGCAAATGCCTGTATGGGCTCACTGAAGAGAAAATAAAGATTCCAGCTTTTGACTTAAGAACTGCAACTTTGCATCTGTTTCAGTTTCTTAGTGTCACAGCATAGATGTGTCCTTGGTTAGGGGATAATATCAAACCAGATTACTACATGTGTCAGTCACTTAATAAAAAAAAAAAAGTTGTGAGTTAAAAAGTGATTATAAATTTTTAACATGTCCTAATGAAAATTCATTGTTGTATAGGGCCTAAAATGGATCATAGTGTTTTGTATTGTAAGAGCATTGTGTCTAGAAGCTGTATTATCTGTCTGAACTTGCAGTCATTTTTATAAAAAATACTTTAATATGTAACTTAATAATGTATTTATTTTTAAAAATAGGGGAGGAAAATTACGATTTTGGTCTTACTAGGTAGCTTGACTTTGAAATTCTCCTCTTGCTTGAGGCTAACACCATAGGTGGGTTTTTAGGCTCTGAGCGATCCTTTGTTTTGCAAGCCTGGCCTGAGAAGCCAGCAAGTCAGTAAGCAATATTCTGGAAAAGCCAAGTGCTTTTCCCATGTAGGTGAGTATGGTGTCACCAGAATGGTAGAGTAACTGTGTGAGTCACCTCACAGTGGCAGGTTAAGGTATCTTTTTCCAGTAAGCAGGGAGAAGCTGTTTTAGGAAACTTCATCTTGAAAGCTCTGCAAGAGTGGAAGGAAGGGTTGACGGGGAGGAGACTGGAGTTCTCATTGCGGTCCAGGGGACAGGGAGAAGAAAAACCTTGAGTGGCTATACTTGAAATGACTCACATTTATGCACTGTTCGGGTGGTACGTGGTTCTCAGTGGCTTCTGCATAAAGTCAGACGTGCTCCTGTTTCCAGGTTCTGCTGAAGTCATTGCTTGTGTGCTAGTTCTGAGATTGGGTGCAGAGAAAATGGGTTTCTTCAGAGAAGAATATTTTCCGGTTTCGTCCAGTAGTTTCCACGTGCTGGGTCACTTCTGGCACTGTCGTTCCACGAGGTGGCACCGTTCCTTCTGCAGAGGACACAAACTCTGCTGCACTGCCTGGGGTCAGCAGGGCTCAGGCATTCTGCACAGCAGAACCCATGTCAAGAGTTCTCTGGAAATGGCTGTACTTTTCCATTAGTATATACTGTGTCTCTTTGATACAAGTTATGTCCAGGTTTTTACACGCAAAATGCACAAGTTTTCAGTGGAGTAGGGTTAGAAAAACATCTTTATGAGCTTCTTGCCTGCCTTTTTTTTTTTTTTAGGTTTCTGGCATTCAGAAGAATTTTTTTTATGGCAAGGAAGTTAAAGCCAGGTGATGCTGACCTAGAATGCTGGTTTACTTCATTTTGAGTCAAAATTGTGTAACTTTGAACATGGAGAGGAATGACCAGTAGCTATCATTATTTCTAGGAGAAAAGGGAATAATTTCTATGGGATTTTTCAAATCCACTAAAGGAGTTTTTTTCTGAAAGGTGATACATACAAAGTATATGGATTCAGGAAACCAAGAACTGTAATGACAACTTCCTTGTAAGAATACAAGCCAAATCTGTGTTGTACAGAAAGGGAACAGTGTTGCTACTGTTCCTAAATTCTCTGTGGAGACGTTATTTCCGATTGGCCTCTCACTGATTTAAGACCACCTAAGTAGAAGGAATATGTTTTCTTTTGTTAGGAAGTTTTTATTTTTAGCTGCATTGTTGGTGGAATTTGTTTTACCTCAGAAGATTATACTGTTATTAAAAGCGTTCACCATTGGAAAGGTTGATTTAATGAATTTATTTTTTTCTGTTTGACGTCTAGGAAAATGGATGATGATGACGATGACATTCCTCAGCTTTCATCCCATACGTTGGCTGCCCTCCAGGAGTTCTATTTGGAACAGCAGCAGAGAGAGGGCATGAAGACCTCCCAAGGGTTTAATCAATATTCCATTGGCTCAATAGAAGAAGATTGGGTAAGAAACTATAAACCTCGATGAATGAAGCACAGATGGAGGAGTAGCCTTTACTGAGTTTCTTTTGTGGATGGATAATGAAATTAAATTAAAAAGGAGAACATTCAAGATGTTCCTATTCATGGATGGCAACACTGTAGGGAGATTTGTTTTACTATTTGATCTGGGTGTAGTTATCTCTTCTACATGTGTGGGGGAGTACAAACTGAAAGTACATGGAGGGGGAATAAAGCTGCTGACAGAAACATCTGTCCCTTCTGGAAATTTTAACCTGAGTGTGGCATGTGAAGGTAGTGAAGACTCCTCCCTGAGTCTGAGACAAACACAGTGTAACAAGATCAAGTGATCTTTCGCTTCATATTTCTCTCTGTGTTTTATTTCTTTGTTTTTGTGGATGGCTGTTTCACTGCTTGTTTTTATTTGTGACAGACTGACTTTTGATTTGTCTTTGGTAGTTTTTTTGCTCTTCTTTTTCCTGATCCCTTCTGATTTAGTAGTTTTATCCTTTATTTCCTTCTATACTGTCACTTTTCAAGGTCCTTTTTCTTCTTCTGCTAAAGTAACTCAATTTAAGAGCACATAAGTATTGTGCATCTGCACATGGGGTTTGAAATAGCCTTGTCAGTGGTTTGGATTACCTGGTTTTCCTGATAGTGCCATACATGCTTTGGAAACATGTGGTGTAAGCTACCTGGATTACAGAAGTAGAAAGACTGTCAGGAAAATAGTTACTTTGCCAGCGTTACAGTTTGTAAACTGAGAGGTTGCTGTGGATTTTGGTTTTCTTCAGTTATGGCTCACCACACCTCACTGTACATAACACAGTCAGAAGTTTTGATGTTGTTTGTAATTGTGCATTATTTCTCAGCAACTGAGCCAGTTTTGGTACAGCGATGAAACTGCGTCGTGCCTGGCCAAGGAAGCAGTTGTGGCAGCTGGAGAAGGTGGCAGGTAGGATATAATAATGGCATTGTAGATTTAACATGTCTTTTGTTTCTACTACACAGAGTATGCAGTTTAATTCATTACTCATTGTACTTCACCTTTGTTCAACTGCAATACTGCAGAACTGCTTTGCTGTTATTTAGTTAATAGTTTATACTGATCTTCCCATTTACCATTTTACTGAATGCTGTAGGCTGTGTCTTGTTAAAAGTTTACTATGAATCTTTTCATTTTTTGAGAAATACAGAGAGCTCTAGAGCATATTAATAAGTTGTAATTATTTTCTCTGGTTTTATACAATGGTTCTGTAGAACAGATGCAAAAAGTTGTTTTCTTCCTATTTCTATAAGAAGTAATTTTTAATTTTAAGTTTTCAAGTATATTTTCTTGCTTTTCTGAAACAAGATTTTCTCTGTAGTTAGGCGTAAGGTCTTTGTGCAGCATGGAGGTTGAATAGGTAATGGCTTAAAGTTATTAAAGTGTAATTAGTTGTTAGAATGGAGAAAGAATAGCTTACATTTTGGGGACTAATGTTTAAAAATGTTTTTCCCAAAGCAGCTATGATGACTGGAGTAGGGGTTTTGTTGCTGTTGTTTGCCCTTTAAATCAATATTCTCAGTTATTGTGTCTTTTTCAGAATAGCATGTGTTAGTGCACCGAGTGTGTACCAGAAACTGAAAGAACTGGATGGTAAAGATTTTTCAGTGTGTATACTTGAGTACGACAGAAGGTTTTCTGTATATGGAGAAGAATTTATCTTCTATGATTACAACCAGCCTTTGAACTTACCTGAAAATCTCCTGCCACACAGTTTTGACATTGTAATAGCAGATCCACCCTACCTGTCTGAGGAATGTCTTCAGAAAACTGCAGAGACGATCAAATACTTGACAAAAGGAAAGATACTGCTTTGCACAGGTATAACTAGTAAAAATATTAGGTCCCCATAAGGATCTTTTTCTCTCTCTCAAAAGACAAACTCACTCATGTGAGAGAAATACTAACTCAGTAATATTAAATTATCATTAATTTAAGGGGCAGTATATGTCCTAAGCTTTATATTTGAATACTTGAGTTCAACCTTTGTCTTAAACTGGAGGAAATGGTTTTTAATAGGACTTTTGAAAGTCAGGGTTTTTTTCTTACAGCATTACGAGTTTTACTGAATTTTAGAAGAATTATAAGATCATCTTGCAAAGTTCCAGAAATACTTTTTCTCTTGTAAGAAGGCCACTCTCTGTAATTGCAATGATTGAAGTTGGGGTATGGCAAACATAGGTGCAACTTACTGTTGGTGTCCTAGGCACTGAAATACATCAGGAGGAACTAAAAACCAGTGATAAAAGCAGTGAAACTAGATAACTCGATAATTGTACTTGCAGGTCCTTCCTTATGAAAATGCACTTGCTGATTTAAGAAGCGATGTGTATCTGCCTTAGTCGTGTCATTTCCTAAACTGTATTGTTATTACAAGACATCTGAAGACATCCAGGAAACTTTTGAGAAAAGCAAAGGACAAAAGCCCTTTTTACATACAACTTGGGGGAAGTCAACCAAGCAGGCAAAGTAAATAAAAAATTAAAACAAAATGTGGCCATAGAAAGTCTACTTCTTGGCTTGATTGCTCATGGCAGTCACGCACAAGGGTGGTTCTGCCTAAAATGGGTAGGTGGTCCTTCAGTTTACAAAGTTTGAGAAATACTGCTCAAGAAGTGATTTCTCAGTGCGTAGCTGTGGTTTATTTAAGTGGAAGAGTATATGTAATCTGTTTGCATTTCCCATGGCTCCCTACCATTTAACTTGCTACATACTTGGCATGTAGCAAGAAGACTGAGTTCAAGTTTCTTTTCTGTATAAAGGGCACTGATACCCTCTGCCTATTTTTATGAAAGTTTTTGGACATTTGTTTCCTTGGGGTGTCTTCCATTCTTTTAGATTTATTTTAAATTTCTCAATAGATTCAGTTGTTAAGGAAGGCTGACAGTGTAGCTGCTTTAAGCCTTCCTTCCGTAAAAAAACCCAGGCTCTGTTATATATGCATTTGTGAGGAGCTACTAAAAAAGTCCAAACATTCTGTTACTGTTTTTCTTATTGAATATCAGTTATTTTTGCTGCAGGTGCCATCATGGAGGAACAGGCAGCAAAGCATCTTGGTGTGAAGATGTGCAAGTTTATTCCAAAACACTTGCGAAATTTAGCCAATGAATTTCGATGTTATGTGAACTATGCTTCTGGACTGGACTGATTCTCATGAGAAGATCTACAACTTCTTCAGTCAAGCTGCTTTCTGGTTTTTATCAGTGACTCCACAATTCTCAGTGCTGAAATATTTAGCTCTGAGTACTATTTCCTGGGCTAGCTTTAATCAAAATGTGTTAGCCTCTGTCTTTTAAATGAGTAAGCATTTGCAGTTACTGTGTTTGTATTTTACTATTAGGTAAATGTGGACCAAACAGTGCAGGGGCTGGATAACAGGAACTTCTCTGTTTGAATTTAATTCTAACTGGTAACTTTTACAATTCAGAGACCTTTTTGAAGTGATTTTAGCTTATAACAATACATAGGTGCTTGCTTTGCAGACATCAGAATTGTCATTGCAAAAGAACTTGATACTTCTGTAGTAATGTTAGTCCCTTAAATCTTGAATCATAGTGGTTCTGATTAAATATATTGCCTGCTTTTTAATAGATTTCAATATCAAACTAAAGATGATTTACAGGTATATCAAGTTTATAGTTACAAAAACAGTTTGTTTTTTTCCAGTTGCCCAGTTTTCTTTCTCTCCTGTTCCACAGACAACAGCAGAGCAGTAGAAATTGTTGAATTTCTTAGAAATTGTTGAATCTTAAAAGGCCACTGAGAAATAATGTATTGATAAACTCCCACTGTTTCAAATGTTAGATTTTATATACAAGGTTTGGACTATATTTCAATCAAAACAGATTATACATTAGAAAAATTTTGCTTTGGGATAGTAGACATTTTTGGTAACTGGGAATTTCTAAAGTTAGTTTTGACTAACTATACTGCTAATGTATTTTTGGCCAATACAGTGTTGCCTTTCAAACCAGAAGCCATCCTTGCCACTGAGCCAGGATCCCCCCTGAAAATGCCTGTCCACAGGTGACATACAGCTGGGTTTAGTTGTTTTCCAGGAGGCTTCACCATCACTTTTACGTGGCCAGTTTAAAAAAAAAAGCAAACCAGTGTGTTAATTGCACGGTTATTGGCACAAGTCTGTACTTCACAATTGTAAACTGGTTTATTACCAAGCAGATGGAGACAATGAAGTAACTCAGGAAACTTTGTTTATAACTCCATGGAGGCTTCAAGGGGGACAGGTATGATTGTCAGAAGAGAGAATATTCTTCCCCTGCCATCCACCTAAATTAGAATGTGCTGTTCAAATCGAAGCTTCACCTATGTTGCTGCTTTGCTATTAATTCCTTCAGTTTTTTGCTTTATTTTGGTAAATGTGTATTGCTGGGCTCTCTACAGCAAAATCAAAAGACAACTTTGCTAACTTCATCAGAGACCTTTCTTAGAAAAAAATAAAACTGCACCATTCAGTTATACCAAGAAATTCACTTCCAAGAAAATAACTGCTGCTTCTCACATGTAGGTCAGACAGCTTTGAAAAGAGGCACTGTGAAGATGCACAGTTATGAAAATGAGAGTACATATAAATCTGTGCAGATGCACTCAACAGAGCAGCCCGTTGTCCACCAAATTCCCTCTTAAAAACCTGATGAGTGCAGGCAGCTGCCCAAGCAGAGCTTGACTGCTGGCTTTTACAGACTTCATCAGTGATGGAAGGTAAGCTGGTTTTGTCCTACATGATTCCAAGGCAAAAGCTATTTCTGAGAAGGTACAAGTCACAAAAATTCATAGTGAATTTGTGCTTTGTGCCATCGTGGTAACATTAAGAAATATTATGTGACAACAAAATCTCTCTTCTGTAATAGAATTGTGAATAAAAACATCAGTGTCAAGTAGTGATTGATTTTCCTTACTGCTGATGTCTCATGGATGGACTTTCTGTTAGCACCATGCTGCTTTTCCAGGGGCATTTATGACTACAGAGTCCTGTGCTACAGCCTCTTATCTGCAGTAACAGGTACTGTGCAGGAGCAGGACATCTCAGTGCCCTGCTGCTGGTATGGCTGGGACACTTGGCAGAGAAAATGTGGGGGCTTGTTCACAGGCTGGTGGCCGTAGGTGAATAGAATACACTGCAGCTGCCTGCACCTCACCCCAGATGAGAAATGAAATGTTTCTGGAAATGCAGTTGCATGAAGTCCAAGGTACTGCTGCCAATAAGTTCTGCACTTCTGTTAAAAATATCACCCTCAGCTTGGTGTTGCAAAGGTAGCCTGTCTCTGCCACACAATTGCTTCCACCCCTCTGCCCGTGCCCCTCTGCACCAGAGCAACTGGGAGGTATCTCTGATGGTTGGTTCGGTCACTCTGCCTTTGTTACCTGGGAGCAGCCCCAGTGCCATGCACTGAGATGGGAAACAGGGCAGCTGGGTTCGAGTTGCAGAAGCCCCTCGTCAGCCAGTGTCAGAGCTGTGCTGCTGCTCTGGGTCTGCTCAAGTTCTGCAGCCTCCTTAGATGGGAGTACCGCAAAACCAAGTGGTAGCTCATGCCACCAAAACACATGAGATTGACTGGATCTCCCTTGTGCCCTAGTCCAGGTAGTTATGGCTGTTCCCTAATCCCACTGAGATTAATGGGGTTAATGCTTTGTGACCACATTACAGCCTTTTTCCCTTTTCCCCTTGTGGCTTTCGTGTTCATGTTCCCCCATGAAATTCCATGTACACTTGCAGCTGTAGATCTCTACCTATTCAGACAAACATCTTCAGGTAATGACTGGCAAGTAAACCAAAACCAGCATCTCAGGCTTTTCTCAACCTTCCTGAATGATAGGAATTTTCCAACCTACCTTAAGCGATACTACAGAGAAGAAAATAATGTTTTTACCAAGGATATTGTTCTGTGTTTTGTGGCTTCACTATATTCCAGGGACAACCTCGTTGAAGGAAAAGATTTTCCTGGCACAACAAAAAATTTTCTCAAATCAGCTGCAGCTGCCAGATAGTTCCAGCTTTGAATTGTTTGCATTTATTGGGGCTGGAGTTGGTTCAATGAGGCATTTCATGTCTGCCTTCTGTCAACAGTTTGTGAAGCCTTGAAGCAACTCCAGTGAACCCTCCCTCCCCCATGCAAATTAAAGGCAAGGCTGCAGCAGCTGTAACCAGAGGGCTAGAAGCTGGAAAATGTCACACCACATTTGAAGTGAAACTGATATAAATCCATGATGTGATGACCTCGTTAAAAAAAAAAAAACAATTCCAAACAAATGCAAACTACATTTAATACTCAGCCTTTTCAACATGAGTAATGTGGAGAGAAAGAATAGATGGAAGGGTATTTTGAAGATCAACAAATGTTTGCGTAGCTAATAGTTCTGAACGTTAAGTATTAACAAACAGTTGTTCACTAAGGAACTATCAAACAGTTGCTCGTGCTAAAACATAAACACGGATTTTAAGAGACACGTAACTGGAAAGCTGGATTGGGAAGCAAACTGGCTCAGCTAAAAAGTCTGTCACAGAAGAGGGTAAAGTTTAAAAAAGGAAAAGAGGCTTCTGAACAAGATAACATGAAGATGCTTGTAACCATGGGAAGCTTTCTGCACTTGTTGCAGTGTGACAAGAAGGAGATTGCCAACATACTCATTCTATTGATCCACTGAGATTTTGCAGTTCTGTAGTACTTTCAGTCATCCAATTTCTGAAGCTCTGTGTAAGCTAAAGCATCTGTTTTACTGGATTGAAGAAACTGATTATGTTCCATTTGCCTAATCTTGGTTTGCAACTCCCGGGAATTCCCAGAACATGCTCTAGTTACTTGAAAACCTCAAAATTATTCCAATAACTAATGCCTGCAGGACAAGAGTTGCAACAAAAGAAGTGAGATTTTTTTTTTCCTCCACATCATGCAAATAAATCCATGTGCTCTAATAACTAATTTGTTGCAGACAAATTTGTATAAGAAAAGTGTGTGGGCAGACAGATGAGTTCTGCTGGAGAGCAGTATTTAGCCAGAGTTTTAGCTGGTAGCCCCTCTGGGTATTTACTACATGTTAAATGCTGCGTGGTTTGACATTTTGTTGTTGTTGTTTGGGGTCATTTTACTGCCTTTTACGATGAAGACTTTGCTTTCTATGCTGTGAAGTCTGAAGGTCCATCTTCACCCTGCCTGAAGTGTGTGTGTGGAAAAAAACCCCACAATGTAGTAGTGGAACCGTAAGATGACAGGCTGCTGAAACATCATCCAATCCAGTGTTTCTCCAGTTTTGTGGGTCTGTCTCCCTTTTGAGCCCCTCTGATTATCATTTCCCTCTACTCAGAGGGTAAGAAGTTCTTCCACATTAGGAGGAAGGAAAAGTGGTTGTAACTGCTGCAAGTATTTACATTCTCTAGGGAACAGGTAGGGAACCTGTAATTGCTGGCAGCAGCTAGGCAATTAGCTGTTCTCTGAGTAGTATAAACACTTTATGACCTTGTTTGAACTCTCCTTTGAGGATTCCCTCGAGATAGAAGCATCACAATTTGAGGAAACACAGATCTAAAGACAAGGAGAATTGAGGAAAAGCATCTGCACAAAAGACACAGCTACAAACTTCGATCTGACATCATAAAGGGAATCTTTTATTCATTAAGCTATTTTAGGCTTTGTACGAAGTTACATAAATTGCACTGAAAAAATACTGTTATGCTAGACTGAGTCATAGAGAGCACAGTCCATAATTGTGCACCAAGATAAGTAGTTGCTGTATGACTTTCATTCTCTGTTTAACTTGTTAATTCTGGTTAGCTCATAGTCTTTCCATTCTTCATCCAACAACACTCCAAAGTGTGTGTTTGTGTAGTGTAGGGACTTTCTCCACTATGAATTAAAGGCCAGTTTTGAGATTCTTGATGTAGCAAATGCATGGCTGCATAGGATGTTTATTCTGTAAAAATATTGCAGTCATGCTCCTTCAACTGTAAAAGATAACTCTGCTGTGCATTCAGAGGTTGATCAGTTTTGGCTAGTGTGGCCCTCTGAGGAATTATGTTTGTGCGAGGCATGCCTGGTTATTCCTGATTCTCATTCACTACACTGAGTCAACATTCAGTCTCTTGTTCTGGAAATGCAAATTTTTGTTTATCCAGGGTTCCTGCTTAGGGCTTGCCATCAAGTTCCATCAGCAGTAAGCTGCACAGATGGAAGATGGTGCTTCCATGGACTAGCAGCTCTTGCAGGTGATTGTTACGTGTGGCATAGGGAAAACTGAGTAAGAGTAGTTGTATAAATTGTTTGGACTGGGACTCTCTTCAATAAACTCCTTGCAGCATCTAGAAGTTAAGACCTACCCTACTTACTCACCTGCAGTGTACTTGAGATGGAGCCTATCCTCTGCACTTATTTTTTAGAGGGGAATCTCCTCTCCTAACATGAAAAAGGTTTTGGCCTTTCAACTGTACAATACAGTTTTATCACAGGAAACAGTTAAGCAGTTAGTGATGGATGAAATCTAATACAGAATTCTTGGGACCCAAAGTATATTTTTTCTAACTAATATTTTCTGTGTAATTAGATTTAGTCCACATCAGAAAAGTCTGCTGCAGTTTTACAATATTCTAGCATGTTTTTTCTCAACACTTTTGTACTCTTAGCAATTTGGCAAGTTTAAAAATAGCAAACACATAGAATATTGTTTCATTAATAACTCTGACTCAGCAAAGGTTTCCTTACTGTAGTGTTTAAATAGCCAAAGATGTAACAGCCAAGAACACTGCTTGTAAATGAAGGCTCTCCCAGCCTGAGAAATTATCCTTTTAACTGCTGATTTGGCACATGTCCGGCAGCTATGTGATTTTTATTTAAGGGTACTTGAGAGTATAAGCGATTCTTTAAAAATATCTACAACCAGCAGCCTGCTATAATAATAGCTAACATGTCTTACAATTGCATCATCTTCTAAAATTTACTGTGAATAAGCAAGGATAAAATGTTCTGCTCTAAGAAAAAGAAAAAAGGCAACTTTGGAATTTGCAACAATGAACTCAACAAGTTCACTAAACAAGTGTACATGAACTAAAGAAGTTCTTCATACGAATCACCATCTTTAATGATCTGAGTGACTGGACAAAACTTTCCATCTTATAACTGAAATAACTGTAAGCAGAAAAAGAGGGCAAGTCAGTGTGTTTGCTGCTGTGTAGCGGTTTCCTGAGGTGGCGAAGTGTGAATGTGAGGCCAGTACTGTAACACGATCCCTAATATGTTCTTCATTCTGATGAGGGCTTGTTCTGGCTCACCAGCAACTTCACCTCTTGCTTATCTATGCTGGAATTTACGCTTTCGGCCTCCTTTTCTGGCTCAGGCACACAGGTGCAGCCCACTGGGATGGTGACGTAATCCTCTGTGTAGACGTAGCGGCCCCCGGCACACGAGGATGTGCGGCGCAGGATGACGGTCGGCATGTACACAGGGGTGCTGCGGAAGTGGAAATTCTCCTCCCCAAAGATCCCCATGAGGCAGCCTTTGCACAGACAGTATGCTTCAGGGATGTATTTGGGATATCTTGTGGGATCATAGGAAATTCTATAGGAAGGCAAATAAAGATTCGTTAGTACCTCTAAAAATAGATATATTCCTTTGGAGTTATAGAATGTTATTTATTATTTAATTATAATAATTATATCATGTTTTTGTTGTCTTTGCCGGGGAAAATAGTTGTGGCTCTTGGTGTCTGGCTTCTTATTTGTAAAGTGTAAAGAAAAAACCATGCACAACTAACAGAACTGATCAAGTCCTACAGTGCACACGGAAGTATGAATTGTGAGATTCAGGGGTTTAAGAAGAATAAGTTTTGTGGTTTGGACTGAATGGGTAAATAGAGCATTAAAAAGGACACTTGGGCATTTGATCTGCCTCAAGTTCTTCAGAAATTGGTACAAATCCTTGTTAACATTATTTTGTTAAAAACATGACACGATGTTTAAAAATTAATAATTTGAATAGAATTGAATCGTACTATTATTTCTGCAATAGCTTTTGCCTCCCTACTATTCTTGGAGTTTTAAAGATGCCTTCCCCTTGAAAGCAGAACTCTGTATTTCCTTCTCTAATTCACCTCTGTCTCTTCCTCTAGCCAGACAAAAGTAGTATTTTCATGCCCACATTGAGATAAACTGCAATGTCAGTGTTTTTTCTGCCCTGGCCTGCTATATTTTGAAGTAAAGCATTGCCTCAAAGCTTCAAGAGTATAGCCTCTATTTTTTGTTGTTTCACCATTTGTTGTTTTTGCCTTTCTTTTTGCTTATTAATGCCCTATCTCTAGAAATTCCTTATTAGTAGGAGCAAAGCTTTTAATCTAAGCTTCAGGTTGGACATTAGGAAAAATTCCTGCACAGGAAGGGTTGTCAAGCACTGGAATGGACTGCTCAGGGAGGTGGAATCACCACTGCTGGAGGTGTTCATGAAGCAACTGGACGTGGCATCTAGTGCTATGGTTTAGTTGACAAGGTGGTGATCTGTCAAAGGTTGGACTCAATAATCTTGGAGGTCATTTCCAACCTTAATGGTTCTATGATTCTAAGTACAGCTTGGATCAGCAAAGCCCAAGTTCTGTCATTCCTCTCTGCTTGTTGCTGGATGAGTAAACAAAGATGTGATAGTATGGTCTCAAGTCACACAGATCCTGGCTGACCTATTGCCATTGCTTTTAGCAAGGAGAGTAAAAGCTGATAAAGTCTGCTTGTTTTATGAAACAAAAGACTAAGTGCACAGCAGAGTACATATACTGGAGTGTGTAGCCACACTGCTTATTGTGGTGCTGATGTATTTGTTGCTTTGTTCTTTACTTGCTTTTCCTGCTTATACTGGCAGTAATTACCAGGCATGGCTGTAACTTGTACATTATTAGAATGGTGTGCCCTTATTCTAGAAAATATGTTTGCACCTCCAGAAAATGAGGATTTTTAAAAATACCTTCAAATGAATCAAATACCTGTCATCAAGATAATTATTTATGGGATAAAACAAACTACTGAGTATACAATACCCCTTTCCTACAGCCATTTTAAAGTAATTGATTTTGAAAACCACAATAGAACCATAGAATCATAGAATGGTTTAGGTTGAAAGGGACCTTAAAGATCATCTAGTTCAAACCTCGCTGCCATGGACACCTTCCACTAGGCCAGGTTGCTCAAAGCCCCATCCAGCCTGGCCTTGGACACTTCCTGGCATGCAGCAGCCACAGCTTCTCTGGGCAATCCATGCCGGTGCCTCACCACCCTCACTTACTAATTCTTCTCAATATCTGACCTAAACCTATCCTCTTTCAGTTTGGAGCCATTACTACTTTTCCTATCACTACCTGCCGTTTCCCGCTCTATTGTAGGCCCCTTTTATAGATACTGAAGGCTCTCAGCCTGTCTTCATAGGAGAGGTGCTCCATCCTTTAGAGCATCTTTGTGGCCCTCCCCTGGACTTAATCCATCTTATGGTGGGGTCCCAGAGCTGGATGCAGTGCTTCAGGTGGGATCTCTTAACAGATCTTAAAGTGATCTTAAATTTTAATAGATTTAAAGTGATTTCTAAATTGTGTTTCCCAGGGTTTGCAGCACTTCCTTGGGTATCATAGTGTTAGCCTTTTATCTTCTCAGGTCATCTCTTAGGTGAGAAGAGGTTTCAGGTGTGGAAGAGGCAGCATAAGTGTGCCTCAAGCTGTGACTGCAGTCACTGCTAGTCAACAAAATCTGTACTTGCAAACCAGGCAGCCTGGCTCTCCCTCTCACACCCACCCCTGGGTTGATGTCGATGTTTTTCTGGTCACAGGACTGATTAAAGAACTCATTCAACTGAAAAGTAACTTCATCGAAAGCTGTATATATCTTGCCACATATACACAGAGATCTACACCAACAAGCCAGTGGGAACAAGTAGCTGTCGATGGGGGCAGAAGGGAGCTGCCCTTTTCAGAATTGTCACCTCTTTATCAGGTTAAAGGAAACCTGGAATCACAGCTTTGGCCAAACACAAACTTGATTATCCTGTCATCAAAGAAAAGAGACTTTTTAAATATATATATAATGGCCTTTATATAGATACATTTAAAGAACTGATTTTCCTCACAGAAAAACCTGTCCAGTTCTCTCATAGCCAGACACCGGCAATGTTGCAGATATTTTTTGCAAAGCTTCTCTCTTCCATTTATACTTGTTTACTTTCCCCAGGAAATACCTTCATGTTACAGGATCTCACATCAGTGTGAAATAAATGTCTGGTAGCCAGCAGAAGGGAAGAAAGGGGAATACAGGCCTTTCTACTGTGATACATTCCCATTTCAAACTCAAGTGTGAGTAATTTCAGTGGTGGATTGTTAAACACACCATATGTCAAGTCATTGGTATTTCCTCTACTGTATTATCTCTAGCACCTGGTTTATGATGTTACTGGAAAGCATGAACATACTTCTGCATGCAAACATAAGAGTTTTCACTAGTAACAGAAGAACACTGGAATCATGGCCTAAAACAAATTTTCCCCTCCAAACTCTCACATGGAAAAAGTCAGGTATAAATTGGGGGCTTTTTTTGGAAGGATGGTGTGGTTGTGGCATGGTTTTCTACTTTCCAAGGAAAAAATCTCTTGTATTACTAAGTTTGATGTAGACATCTCTACTCCATCATGTGGGGAATTGGAAGGATGATGGATTGAAAATATAGATGTGGGTTTGCATCCAGATCCAGGCACTAAGTAATGCCTCCTGAAATTAATAGCTTAACTCAAATGTCACTAAAATATGGAGCCATATCCAAGGTACTGCATCTTCAGCACAAACCTGTTTGGCAAAGCCATGTAACTAAAGCCTTTTTTTTTTATCTTTCTAGGCAGCCCAGACCTACTTGGGTCTGAACCACTAAGAAACACCAGTGACCTAGCTGGATAAATGCAGCTGTGTGACCTGTTTCCTCTGTTTGCATGTACGGAACAAGACCACTCTGTGCAGATAATGACCACTGCCTCAGCTGCTTCAGTCTGATGCCTTTCCATTACTCCAAACACTTACAAGTCATGTTTTCACATCCTCTAGAACAGGGCATTTTTCATCAGGTTAACTTACCAGACAAAACACATGCTCCAAGTTCCCACTGACTCCTTCCTACGTGTAGTGTAAGATACACCCAGCTGGGATGGATGCAGCTGGGAAGAGTGGTGGAGGACCAGAGAAGTGCAGCTTTTCACTGGCATCCAGCTGTCCCCTGGAGCCTTGTGTCATTTGCTGTGCCCACTGCTGCAAACTAGACAGCCCAGACATTTTTATGAGGATTGCCCTTGTCCTGTGAACTCGGGTCACTGGTATATAAGGCTAACGCTGCCTCACCAGCGCTCCTGATTCACAAGCAACAGGAGCAGGGAGCTCTGCTGGGCTGCTCTGTTTCGGTCTGCTGGAACACGAAGCAGATTTGTGCTGAACTGGAACTGCTAATGAAGTGTGACCAGGCTGCTTTTCCTTATGACCCTACGAGGGCTTTGAGGGCTCCCAGTGAAAAACAAACTTCCTGCCGTTTACATTCTAAGCCTGGAAACTCAAGACAAAAGTTTCTGTCAGAAGTAAAACTCTTGCAGAGACTTTATCTGTCTTGTCCTGTGCTGCTACTTTCACTTGTAGTATTTTTAATAATATTATCACTTCATAGTTTCCAAGCTTCTGAATCCAGGGAGTGAGATGCTGTGCTGGGGCAGGCAGCCGACTCCTCAGAAAATGACTTTTAGGACTGGGCTAACAGCTGGATGCTATCAGAAGTCTAATAAGCAGATCATCATCCCCTTCCTTTACACTCCAAAATACTTACAGGATTAAGAGCTAATGACTTTTTTTCCCTCTTGGCAAGACATTTATTTTCCTATAGCAGGTGCTCTTTTGTTCACATTATGCTTAGTTTGTTTTATATACAGGTAGTAACTACAGTGCTTGCAAAGAGTAGCCTAATGCTATAACTGACTTTCTGAAGAGTTGTACGAACATGTCCTCAACTGAAAAGGATGGCAGTCTGTGACCCCTTATATTCTTTCCCTTGGCTGTATCTATCTGTGCCACGCAGTACTATTAAGTCCTGAAAAATGTCTTGGATAAGCTTCTAGAAAACCACTGGAGTATTATGTAAAGACCTCTTTTTCAAACACATTGCAGACACGCTTGGCTTTTACCAGTAAAAAAAGACTTGCCTATATTACTTTTATTAAAATTTTGTGTAAATGAACACTAAACCAAGGATGCTTATAAACTGAAACTGGTTTTTGAACATCAAAAAAAACAAGCTGGGCAATGTTTGAGAGAGGGAGTAGATGATGTGAGATTTCATGATCAGAGCAACACTAACAATAAAAGTTAAATCTCTGTAAATAACCCTTAGTATACATAGGATTAGGTCCCAGAAAATTCAGAAACATGAATGACTTCTTGAACACACATAAAGAATTTTTGCTAATGTCACGCAGAGGTGTGTTTGTAGAAGACTCAATGTATTCCTACAAACTGGCTATGACTGTTATTACAACCTTAAGAAAACAGAAAATAAAAATAGAGGTGATGTGTACAGCTGATTAATGAATGACATCTATGCTCTGCAGCCCCAAGAACAGAATCACAAATTAACACTACCTGTAAAAATGCTGTTGACTTCAGTGGGATTTTTCAACCGTTACTCTGAGCTTTATGATCAGACCCTGCAAACATTTAGAGATGCATTTAAAATTAATCCTTTTTATAATGGTTCTTGTCCATGAGAAACTTGTCTGTGCACCTGTAGAGCTGAGCTTGCATTGGTAAAGATTCACCATGATTATGGCTTCTGTAAATTTTAACAAGTAGCACCCATCCTGTGCTATTGGCAGAGTTTTGTAGGTCAACCCATATCACATACTATTTAAGCAACTCTGAACCATAGGAGTAGCCAAGGACCTTGCCAGAACCTCCTTGTACAAGCAGGCTTTCTCGATATCATTGACTGTCCATTTAGTAAAGCTGCTAAAAAGGACAAGCAGCTCCTGGATGGGTGCCACAAGCTGGCACACAGTCTGCCTGATGGATTTCATGAAATGATGATTTCATGGCAAAGCTTCTGCTACTGGCTTTATTTTTTAAAAAACTGGGTAATTTTTAGGTCAGCTTCCTGAACTGCTGAACAAATCCAACATGCCTAACTGCCTTCAGGGAACTCTGCTCTCTCTTTATAGCTCTGCAGAGTAAAGAGCAATTCATGTGATTAAACTTTGTGCCCTTAGTTATATACTGATCTCCTGTGGCCATCAGGGTGGAATTTCAGTATCAGACAGAAGAATATTTTTCTGCTAACTTTTGCTTTAAATACCACCTGTTGGTTGCTGCTAGCAGCAGAACTGGGGACCAGATGGATCTGTGGTGCAATCCATGTACAACCCCTGTATCTCTGGGGTTACAGCAAGCCAAAAATGATGTAAGTCTTGATTTTTGTATAACCAAATTAAAAGACCGAGTAATGGAAAATAAATAGTAAGCACAGAACAAAGGTAAGGAAAGAAGCTACATAAGGATTATCTAAGCTTTAAGCCAGTCAAACCTAATTCTTCCACACTTAGAATGACAAACTTGGGATACAGGCGATGCAGGGGGGTGAACAGATCTCTAAGTAATATATTTGATTCTTTCTCATAAATGCTGATATGAAAAAATTTCAGTTTAACTGAACAGTCATCTGAGCAGAAGAATTACAAACAGCAGTGTTAAAACAGCTGGGAGCAGGTGCCTAGGGAGATATACAGGGGAAGGTAAGTAGAGCCAGACTTAATATCTTTAATATTAATGACCTGGAATAGGGTGTGTAAACATTATGTTAATGAAATCTGCAGATGGTAACAATGGGAACTGCTGCAACACCAATGAAGACATAGAAACAGCATAAGATATCTCAGACATTAAAATGCAGGTCAAAAAGAAAGACTCTATGCACAGAGCAAAAATTAATTGCACCGTAAGTTTTTAGGTGCAGAAAAGAAGTCAGAGAGCAGGATGTCTGTGAGACACACCAAAATGGAGCAGGCATCTTGATGCAAATTTCAAGTAGTCAAATCCAGGCCTTGAGCAGTGTCCTACAGTGTACAAGAGCAGTCTACTTAGTGAATTTATTTCACTACTAAAACAACTTCAGTGATTCAGAAGACAGTTCAGGAGACAGCAATGAATCAGTGAAAGGGAGAAATTTATGAGGAAAGATTGAATTAAATGTGAGTAGGCTTGTCAAGAAGGTTCTGTATTACAGAAGACAGCTGTAAGCAGTTTTTCAGATTAACACTTCAGCCATGGAGAAGAAATCGTTGGGATTGTGTAAATTAAATCGGTTAACCACTGATAAAGTGTCATGTAACATCACTTGCAGGTTCTTAATGGAGAGCTGCATGTCCTTATCAAAGATACACAGTAGCTCTGATGGGATGAAGGAGCTTGCTTCCAGAGTACTCAGGTGAAGACTGCAGAACAAAACAGATCTTCATATCTAGCTTCAAAATCTATGACATAGCAGGTTGGAATAGCTAATGCACTTTAGCAATCTTATATTTTACACTTTCATTACAAATCTTGCAATGTCTGTTGGTTTCTCAATGCACACTAATGATACAGTAAAACCACAGTCACAAAAAAAAAGCTGTAAATGGGATCTGTTAACTGGACCGTGTGCTCAGTTCTCTTCAACCTAGAGAAACAGTTTTTCACCTAAATATATTTTTAGATTTTGCTTTTAATAGTATACTTTTTTTCCCCCTGCTATCTTTCAAAATTCCTAGCTTGGAGATGTCATCATGTTACTTGTATGTGAATGGTTAGTGGTTTGTTTGAAAACATTTTGATGAAAAGTACAGTGGATTTACAGCTTCTTAATAAACTTTTTGTAAGCCAAGCCCCAAAAAGCAGCTGGTTCTCTGTTAAGAAATAAGCCTATTCAGAGGCCCAGCTGAAAATAAACACCTGCCTAACGAGATCTAAGCATGGAAGGCATTATTTTCAAACCAGAAAAACAATTTTCTGATAGCAATATTTGATATATCTGATTCTGATAGCAAATATTTGGCAAAACCATCATAAAAATTACCCGAGCCTAGTGGTAGGTGTTTCATTCATCATACTTGCTTTGTGCACGCTTAGGTACCTTAAAAATCCTCAGTCTGCTTAGAGAAAATGTATTACTAAAAATACTTTGTTTATGAAAAACTTACTGAGCAAATAAACCATTTTTCTCTCGGTAGGATTACTTCTTAAACTAAAAGTGGGCAAAACCCATGCCACAGAATGAATGTTTATTGGAGACCACAAACAAGGAGATATTTGTTTGCTGAGTACACGGTAACTGCATCAAAGCATATGGGAAGGATAATACACAGAAAGCAGCAAGAAAGTCAGCTCCTTTTAAGTATGGGTATGTTTTACCTTCCTATTGTCTGCAGTATCTTTACAGAAAGATGAAAACAGAGAACTCAGTTCTCTTAGTTCTGTTAGTCTTACTAAGACAAACCATCAGAAGGCTTGATAGTCTTCTGAGAATGTGATCACACAGTGGGTTTAGTGTTCCAGATAAGCGGTTTCCAAGCTTTTCCATAGCTCCCTGTAGAAATGCAGACCCTTGGTTTTTGTATTAATTAGCCTAAATTCAAATTTACTTTACTAAGTTATTTTTATGCCCCCTTAAAAATAGTCTGTCAGCCTCTGTTCCACCTCAGGGGAAGGAGGTTTGCAAAGCATAGGCTGAAAACACAGATGCAGAATACTGCTCTACTCATTCCTTGCCTACGCTCCTACAGCAAACTGGACAGCAATCCCTTGGGAGTGTTTGGTAAGTGAAGATACGGCTCTGCCTGTATGTAACATGAACACAGAGTATACTCATGTATTTTAGAAACAGCAGAGCGTCTGGAGTCACATCTCAGGAAGAGATCTGAGCCCCCCTGGGGCTGCTACAGAGTCAGGAGGTGCTTCCTTGGCGGCGGTTCTTTGCTGAGGGTCCTCTGAGTGAACTTCATATATGACAATTTCCCCAAGCAACTTTCTGAGGGGTGGTCTGTGCTCCCGGGTGGGTGTGAGCTCCATCTCACGGCTCAGTCCACCTCATTCGTTTCTCTTTCTGCCCATTAGACGTATTCCTCAGACAAGCTGTTTTTACGTAATTACCTTATATCGCTTTACCTAGACGTCCACTTTGGCACCTTTCCTCCCGGCTGCTGCTCGGTGCCGCGGTCACCCCTCGCCCCCCTGATCATCCCCCGGGCACTGCGCAGGGAGAGCCCCAGGATCTGGGCGCCGCCGGCCCCACAGGGGGACACCGTCCCGGCTCCCTTCAGCCCGCAAAGTCCTCTCGAGGCAGCTGGACCCCCCTTCCCGCGGCTCCCGGAGTCACCTGTAAGCCCAGGGCGATGCGCTGCGCAGGTTGACGGGGAGCCGGACCCTCTTGTCGGCGGCCGGGCGTCCCCCGGCGGGGCAGCTGGCGTTGTGCTGGCGGCCCGGCGGCTCGGGCTGCAGGGTGTGGTGGAAGGCGCTGAGCATGCCCGCCGCCAGCCGCCCGTACAGCTGCTCCAGCAGCTCCTCGGGTCGCTCTCCGCAGCTCCGGGTCCGCGCCGGCCGCTGCTTGTGCGCCCTGGCGGGCTCGGCGCGGAGCGGGAGCAGCGCCGCGCAGAGCAGCGCCAGCAGCGCCGCCGCCGCCGCCCGCACCTGCAACGACGGCGCCGTCAGCGGGGATAGGACCGCGACCCGCCGGCACCACCCGCGCCCCGCAGCCCCCGGCCCGCAACCCGCAGCCCTTACCCTGCCTCGCTGCATGGCGGCCGGGCTGCTCCGCCTCGAGGGAGCCGCGAAAGGCGGCGGGCTGCGGCGCCGCGCCGTGCCACTGGCTCTCCCGGCGGAGGAGCTGTTGGAAAAGTGCCCCGCGCCTCACTGCATCTCCCCTGGCCTCGCCTGCCAGGAACATGTTCGGCGGAGCTCACGGAGAGGCGGCGAGGGCTCGACGCCGGGCGCGGGCCGGTCCCGCTCCCCGCCGCGCTGCCCCCGGCCCCGGCACAGCCCCGCGGGCACGGCCGGGCTCGGTCCGCCCACGGCTGCCGGCCCGGGCTCGGCCACCGGCCCAGCGCTCCTGCAGCCCGCGGGTGCCGTCGGCGGCCGCGCTCTCCCTCCCACCGCGCCCGCGGCACGGGCAGGGCCGGGATCTACTTGGCCCCACCGGGACACTTGGTGTCCAGGGCTCGAGAGTGAGGCAGAGCCAGGAGGACTTGGCCCAGTCAGAGCCAAAGGGTCAAGGCCGACGTGAAAAAACGCGGGGATTTACAGCTGGAAATAGCCCAGCCCTGGCTGTGTGACTGCAGCTGGGGAAGGGACCGCTGCAGCCCGGGCTTTCCCAGTCACTCTAGAGCAATTGGCACTGTCCCTCGTAGCGGTCTGGGGTCTCCGACTTGGCAGCACCTCTGGCGCGTTTCTCCAGAAACATCCACAGCAGGCACTGGGGTGGTTGATGTCCCTCATGAAGACTGGGACTGGTGAAGGTGAGGTCGCTTGGAGCTGTCTGTGCGACAGCCTGATCCGTCAGTTCCTCCTGCTCAGGTGGCCTGTGGCAGACACCCACTGCAGTGTCACTCTGCTCACTGGAAGAAGAGCCACTTCAGAAGGTGAGAAACTTGCATGATACACATCTAGATGAGGTTGAGGTGAGTCTCACCTCTAATGACTTCTCCATCTATTCTGTGCTGGCTTGCTGGTACTTTTAAAAACACATAATGCAATGTATTTATTGTCTCTGGCACAACCTACAAAAAAAAGCATCTGTAGTACTCTGGATCATAAAAGATGTGGTACACTGAACTGGTCGGCATTAAAAACAGCCTTGAGAATTTATCACTTGAATCAAATGTTTCATGTGCTATATTAAAGCCCTGTACATCTATTGAGGCGTTTAGTATAAGGATAGTTAATATGAAAACACTGATCAGGAATGAGGGAAAATAGGAATCATAAATCATACAAGGACTGAGAAACCCCAGCTTTGTACCACAGAAATAAATACAAGACATCAGGTTCACCGACCAGACTGGAATTGAAACAGAACAAACTGGCATTCATAATGAAGTGACTTGACTTCATGGTTTCTGAAAAGTCATTGAGTTGTCTAACTGTGATTTTTTAGTGATATTGGTACTGTAGGCATCACAGGTCAGTATCACTTATGAGTAGTGTCTTAACCTTCAACTGTGTGGGATTTGAATCAGGTTTTGACTTTGAAGAAGGACTGTTTAAAATTGAATTAAAAACTTTCCTTTGGAGCCTTATCCTCAGGTGAGAGGCTGGGGCAAGGCAGATTCCATTTAACTCAGTACAGTCTAACTCCTGAGCCCGGTGCTGCACCTGGCCTTGTGTTACTTCAACACCTTCCAGTGATATGTGTGGTAACATGGCAAATATTTATCACAACAGATCTTTTTACATTACTCTTCTGTAGATAAACCAGTATCTTTTCTCAGTGCTTTCTGAGTAGTGTAAGGATGTCATACTTGGTTTTCCAAAAGGAGTTTTAGGCACTTCCTTTATACTGGCCTTTCTGGGAGAGGTCTGCCTCAAAAAATCAGAGCAGATGAAGAGAAAACAATGGCACAAGCATCAAATTGCCAGTGAATTTAAGGCTTTGAGTTTTATTTAGGCAATATTCTAATTCTGTACATTACTTGCATTGTACCGTCTTATTAACAATCTCATTGATTCAAATAATAAGAATCACAGAAGGGCAGCAAATGAGATTCTATTACACAGGATCTGAAAGAGTACAATGACAGTTCTCGTGGCATACTCTACCCCAGAGACATCTGAGTTATAGAAAATTCACTAATACATTTGGCAAATTAGGTTCTTCTCTGACTTTGAGAAATTACTAACCAGTGTCATTGTCATTGGAGCTGACCTATAAGTTTCTCAGAATTTGAGGGGGGCTTAAAACATCTATGTAATTAAATACTGGAAAAAATATTTATTAATACAAAGTCTGTCCTGAATTTGATGCAATACATGATAATATTTCAATCAGTGATTTCAGAATAACAGGCTTATGCACCTGTATGTGAATCTATAGGGAATTCCATGGCTCATGCTGTTTGCTAAGAGCAAACAAGGCAGTGAGACGTTTTCCTTTGATGGCCTCAGCTGAAAATTCCTGGCAACGGAGCACAGAACATCCAGCCCATGCTCTTGACAACAGGGTCAGCTGGAGCAGTAACCCTCCATTGCCATGGGCAGCCCCTGCCTCCCTGCCTGTGGTCCTCCCAACCTCATGCCAAGGCTACCAGTCCCAAATCTCACAAGCATCCAGGAGACACCCATTGCAGGCTGGCTATGTCACCATCCCCACAGTGACAGGGGCCATTGCCAGTCTACTGCCCACCATCCCATTCCCACTACATCACTGGGCTTGGTGCCAGAAGTTGGTATTATTTTCAATTCCTTATCTTTATATCAGTGTCGTTGTAGAAAGTAGTAAATCTCTCTGGCTGAGTGGGGGAGGAAAGGAGTGGACCATGGTCTGGTCATGTCCTTGGGTGAGCTTCCAGTTCTAGAGGAGAAAGGAGGAACAGCCACCATCTATTGCACCAAAGGCACCCCCTACCTTTGCCCTGCTCATGGAAGTGCAGGAGCCCTCCCTTCCCTGCCCTCCTCCCTGCCCTCTCCTCTCAACCCTCCCTCACCTGCCAGCCCCCAGTCATAAGTGTTCTTCTCGATAGTGTCCCAAGCTTCTGGTGTTTCCCCTTAGTGTTCCAACAACATATTATCTTAAACTTTCCAGCTTCCTGACCCAAATGTATTACAAATGAAGATAACAGTTCATCTCCTTATATGCAAACATTTAATCTATAGCCTGATCAAATAATTACATTCTATTTTATTGGATTCTGGTGACCTTCATGGTGTGCTTTACCATTTCTTCTCCTCCTTTATTCCCCTTATATTATCCCTTTTTAACCAAAACAAGGAGTAAATTTTGAAAAGAAGGGGAAGAGAAACTTGTCACTTATAGGAGAGACAGAAGGAAAAGTATTTCTTTCACTTTTACATAATATTCTAAATACTCTTTCTGGCAATTGTCATTCAACATTTATACTTGGGAGTGGCATCTGCCTCTCTCCTGAGATTATCACCATAGTGATCAATGCCAGATAATAAGAATTTCAGTTTTACAAAAATCCTGCTATGAAAAAGTCAGGATGTTCAAAAGAAAACTAAGCTGTGCAAGAATAAGGCAGACATTTTTAGTGAGTTTGTATGAATAAGAAACATTTTCTGATGTGGTTCCATCAGAGTATTTCATGCCATGTTAAACACTGAAATGTGTTTAATGAAAAACACAGAAGGTTTGTGTCTTCATTGTTCCAGACATACTAACGAGCAACAAGCAACCTTGTCAGGACTTTTTCTTGGTTGGGATTGTTGTCTTCCATAGCCGCCCTTGCATGATAGCTGATTCCAGATACTTTGGCTCACACATAAATAAATCACATTATTTTGACAAGCATTATTAGTGATACCACATAATGTGCTTGTCACAGCAATGGCAGAACTGCCCTAAACTGGCATATTCCAAATGTTTATCCCCATCCTGCTACAGCAGTGCATACATTAATGAGATCCTGTCTCTATCTGAAATAATGATCTGAAAAACATTTAAAAAATCATCATATGGACCTTAAAGTTGAACAACTTGCATTGTGGGTGGACCAAACATTCAGCTGCCATCACCAGTAGGTATAAATCTTCAGACAGAGAACTAAATTATTCCCCAAAGATACCCTTCTCCTTCACATTCTGTTTGCAGATAACCTGTCACCCAAATTGTTCTGTTCCCATTCATCTTCCCTGCACTTGTAAGGACTGTAATATCACTTTGCAGCTTCCATGGCATAGCATCTTCTACAGCAGGATCTCAGCATTGAGATTTACAGTTGTTAGGCAATTCAGCATTGCAAAAGTGAAATTCTTGCAAAGTGAAGAATCCTCAATGGACTTCATTTTGCAAAGGTGGAAACCGAGGAGCAAACAGGTTAAAAATAGCCTTTCTACCAAAAAGGTGCCTTTGACATCAAGAACAATCAAAGCCTAGCAAATTAAATTAATTTCTAACAGTCTCAGACTATGATAGCAAAGGGACCAAGAAGAGAAACAGCACTTCTTCATAATACCTGCAGATCTATTTATTGGCAATTCCAAGCACAAATACAGGCTAGGTGGGCAATGGATTGAGAGCCCTAAGGGGAAGGACTTGGGAGTGTTGGTTGATGAGAAGTTCAATGTAACCGAGCAGTGTGCACTAGCAGCCCAGAAAGCCAATTGTATTCTGGGCTGCATCAAAAGCAGTGTGGCCAGCAGGTTGAGGGAGAGGATTCTGCCCCTCTACTCTGCCCTTGTGAGACCCCACTTGGAGTGCTGCATCCAGCTCTGGGGTGCCCTGCATTGACCTGTTGAAGGAAGTCCAGAGGAGGCCATGAAGATGAACAGAGGGCTGGAAAACAGGCTGAGAGTTGGGGTGGTTCAGCCTGGAGAAGGCTCCAGGGAGATCTTAGAGTAGCCTTCTTGTACATAAAGGGGCCTACTAGAAAGCTGGAGTGGGACTTCTTACAATGGCCTGTACTGATAGGACAGGGGGGAATGGCTCTAAACTGAAAGAGAGTAGGTTTAGATTAGATACTAGGAAGACATTCTTCACTGTGAGCGTGATGAAACACTGGAACAGGTTGCCCAGAGAAGCTGTGGATGCCCCATTCCTGGAAGTGTTCAAGGCCAGGTTAGATGGG